TAATACCACCCTTTGGAAATCCACCCATAGGGAACAACTAAAAATACAATGCTTTATGCCCTCTTAATCAAACCTTTATATAATTAGGCATTTAAAATTTGTCATTGCAAAGCAAGGGAGAGAGAACTTCCAATCTGTGACTACGTGAAGAGCCCTTACATACAGAAAAGACTTGTACAAACACTGCCGTGATAGAACGTGACTGCATTTTGATGTTTAACTCAGGTTTACAGTTGTACAGTTTGTCACTAAGTAAATTTTGGTAAGTAAATGAATACATGAAAACAATATTCCACAGGAGCAGGCCCTGGTCACCGCGTGCCTACTGGGTTCCAGGCACTGTTAGGTGTCTACACGTATGAGCCCCGGGAGGAAGCACGACTGAAATGAGGTTTACTCAGCCACCCGACGGGCCAAGATTCAGCCTCATGCCGCCCTGGCCCCAAAGCCTATGCCCCCCCTTCTTTGCCAAGGGCTCTTCTACCTGTGAACGTGCCTACGTCCCTGGACTTGTTCTCACGGAGTGGCTTATTAGCAAATTTATTCACCTTCTTTGCTTTCCAGAATTAAAAAAAAATATGCCTAGTATTATTTGTTTACTGAGGAAAATAAACCTAATGAAGCTATGTTAAAATTGGGGCTCTACTCAAAGAAAACAAAAGTCCCTGATTCAATAGTGTTAATAGTATGATTCTATTTCATAAAAATATATCTTAATTTCATGGAGTTTATATAGATCTACGCATAGGAAAAAATGGACAATTTTATACACCTTTTTAGCAGCAAGTATATCCAGGAGAGGGAAATAAAAGTATTTAAAAAAAACATTATTTTCTAATATTCTTCAAGGAATATGTATTACTTGCATAATCACAAAAAAAAAAGCTTAAATCATGAGTGTTTCTATATTTTAAAAAGGCTAACTTGAATGTAAGACAGTGCCCCAAACTGTGAGACATGTCAGGGACGGGCAGGCGGTGGGGGCGGCAGGGACGCGGAAGCATCGTGCCGGGGAGCCCTCCCGGGCGGCGGCAGGAGAGCAGCCGCTGGGGGCCAAGGTTCCCGCCGAGCAGCAGCGCCGCGGCCGGCCCAGGCCTGTAGAACGTGGCAGCGGCGGGTGCGTCTTGCATATTTCCAAACGGTCCAGGGTGGCACACAGGTAACTGCCACGCCACCGGTGCCATCGGTGGCGTGGGAGAAGCGCCAGCCTAGCAGGCCCCACGGTGCAGCGCTCTGCGCTCTGGACTTTGCAAGAAGCACCGGAACAGTCGCGTCGGACGCTCCCTGACCTTCGCGAGCTAAGGCTCCGCAAGAAGCCTGGCGTCCCGACCCGGAGTACTCGGCAGGCGGCCCGCACCCAGGCCCCGCAAGGGGTCCGCACCACCTCCTAGCCCAAGGGTCTGAAGACCAGGCTGGAGGGGGTAATGAGGGAACCAGGGCAGCTGGCCGGGGGCCTGGGGCTGGGGAGCACTGAAGGCTCACCACCGTGGCCGTGCAGCGCGTGGGCAACGACTACAAGGCTGGGGGGGCGTTTGGGAAAAGCGACACCCTGTGCCTCCTGACGTGTGTGACATGAAGCGCACAACCACCTAGGAGGTACTCCTGCCAAAGAGGCTGAAGGCAAATGTAAGCCTCCGGGGTTTAGAGCTAACTCCCATTTACAGAAAACGCAGAGGGGCGGGGAGCAAGCTACAGACGCCACAAGAAGTGAACAGACTACCGAGAAGAGGGGTCCTTCCGCAGGACAGCGGACGCGGTTTCTTCCAGTATTCCTTGCATAATCACAGAAAGCTTTGAAAAAAAAGAAAATGAATGCGAATGCCAGGCTGATAGCTGCCAGGGCTGGGGCGAGGGGGAAATGGGGAGTTAGTGTTTAATGGGTATAGTTTTAGTTTTGCAAGATGAAAAAGTCCTGGGGACCTGTTGTATAACTGTGTAACTACACTTAACACTACTGAATTGCACTCTTAAAAATGTTTGAAATGGTAATTTTTATGTTTTTAACTGCAATTTTAAATATATATTTTTAGAAAAGAATGCTTCTAAATTAAAAAAATAATTGCCCGAACATAGAGAAATACCAAAACTGTTAGACTGTACTAGGAATCAGAGGAGAGAAGAGGGCAGTGTCTCTACATCATCCTTGGAGCCACGCAGACATTAAACAAAGTGAGAGGAAATCGCTGTAAATTAAGAGAGAGCTCAGAGGTCTGACAACCAAATGCAATCTGTGGATCATGTTTGAATCCGGATTCAAAACTAACCAACTGTAAGAGGACATCTTGGCGATACCAGGGAGATCTGATTATGGCCTGGTTAAAACCCTTTGTTTGAGGTGATTAAAAATTTTCCTTTCAAGCAGATATATTGAAATTTTTAAAAAGAGATGAGACAACTGAAAGAAAATGTATTAATACCAATCCAGGTAGGATTCAGATTTAGCAAAAACAGCAAAGGTAGAAAGGAAACGACTGAGATTGATAAGGGCCTGAGTGGACCTGCCACCCCGGGAAAGGCAGTGTCATGAGACATGACGAGGCGGGAACCGCCACAGGGCATGGCAGGGTCGTCCTGGAGGCGAGGGGGGACATCAGGAGGGCTGGGGGCTCGCTGAGAAGCCCCAGGGGCCAACGGGGCTGGAACAATGTGAACGACAGAGTAACAACAGTGTGGAGTTATAGTCCATAGAATAAAACAAGTATCCACCCTGATACAAGTAAGTTACTGAATAAACAAACAGGGAGGACAACTCTCCCTCCATGAGAATTTTAATTAATAAATGTAGAAGATATGAGGGAAATAAAAAAAACCACCATCACAATGTCACAGTAATATTGGTGGTAGGCCAAGATCCACCTGCTTGATGCCAGAATTCAGTGGGTAAAAACTGAAGATGGTCTCCGACCACGATGGCTCAGTGACATGCGGCCCCACCCTCTCTCACGGTGCCGGGCAGGGGCAGCAAGCCACAGCTCCCAGCCAGCCCCGTGGTCACGAGGGCCAGCGATCGGTTCACCGACAAACCGTTTTCTTCTCGCTTTAACAAACCCAGTAAATAACATCAGATATCCTAAACTATTATAATAGGCTCTGTGTTAGATGGTTTTGCCCAGCTGTAGGCTAATGCACGTGTTCTGAGCACGTTGAGGTGGGCTAGGCTAAGCTATGATGTTGAGTGGGTTTAGGTGTATTGAATGCATTTCTGACTTAAAATATTTTCAACTTATGGTGGATCTACTGGGACATAACCACATCGTAAGTCAAGGAAGATCTGTACTTGCATGGTCTCAAAGTTCCTCCTGCAAGATATTTATTAATTACGATGAGAAATAAGTAGCAAATGCACAGTAGAAAAAAAAACAGCAGACATCACTTTAAATCAAGGCGAGGTTAATTAACATCACCAACAATAAGACACACCACATCGTGTCTACTCAGAGCAGTGCCAGCAGGGGCAGCAGCCAAGGTACGTGGCCCGGGGAGGCTGGTGAGAAACAGGGCCGGCCAGGGAGGACCGCTCTGTCAGGAACTTTGGAAACCATGAGACGGGGTTGTGGAGCACTCATTTGGCTGGTGTGATTTCTTTTTAATTTCATGACTTTGGAGCCACACATCACAGACCAACCTCCAAAATGTCTTGAGGAGAAGCAGGGTAGTGAACAACAATAGGAACAACCGACCCTTCCAGGCAAATCGGGTTCTGGGACTCCAGGTATCTGACCATCACTCAAGTCAGTGATGGAAAGCTTCTGACATTCCAGCAATAAGGTGTGAGAGAGATTTTTGGTGTAATTTAGGGCTCATACCTTTAAAGAGTGATGTACGCCCAGCCCAAAATTAGGATTTTAGGTGAAGTTGGCTGCGCTGATGATGCTAGAGCTCAAGAGAGCAGAAGTACTGTTTTCAAAGAGGGCTTTTAAAAAAGTGGGAAATTGAAAATAAGAAACCCCAACCCCTCAAACAAAAAACTAAAAACTACAAAAAAAAAAAAAAACTTCTCCTTGAACAGTAACCAGTTTTATGATCTAAAAAAAAAAAATTACAAGAAAGTGCTTGGCAAAAATATACCTCCCTGAATTAATGTCTCAAAAAGTTATCCTCTGATCCTGAATCAGGAGAGATGGCTGTGAGAACCTCACCCCAAGAGCTTCCTGAACCTGACCTAGAAGCGTCCTCATCTGATTCAGGGCGGACAGTGCCGGGCTTACTACAGAGGCAGGCGGCTGCGGTCAGCGAGCACTTCCCCTGTTCTTCACAGAGGACGTGGCAGGAATACAGGGCTGCCTGGGCATCAAGCTACAAAACAAGGATCTCATGGCATCTCAACAAAACAAACTCAAACAAAAACCAGGGTTCAGCTCCTGCTCCACTTACACAACCCAGGTCAAATCAACTGACTACCTGGAGTTTCAAGTTTGCTCAATTACCTATAGAAATGGAATCAATATCCTCGCTAGGTACACCAGCCATTCCTTAAAAGACCAAGTAAACCTATATATATGGCAACATTAACAATTACATCAGTTTTGGGGTGAATCAATGTGGGTACCCTGTGAAAATCTTTTTGCTATGCCCCACACCCATCCATCCCACGTGGTGAAGATGCTGATGTAAATGCTTCTCTAAAAGCTCAGACAAGACTGCCTGTCTGGAGTCCAACAGCTGGTCACAAGCATTTTGTCAGCGTGTCAAAATCAAGGTTCTCCTGTGAATACCACCACAATAGGGCAAAACCCATTCATTTCTTTCCTACCCACAAACGTATTCTTCGTGCGGGTTTTCGCCTTTGGGACTAGTGACACACATTACATCGCCTTTTGCATAAAGATTGTTCTATGCTCATTCAACCGTTACTGTTTTTTGATTGGACTGTGATGAATTTTCAAATTTTGTTAACAAGCTGTGGGGCGGTGGGAGGCCTCCTCACGTTCAGAGCACTCGGGGGTCACTCCCCAGGGGGACGCCAATGGCCCTGAGGGTGTCCTCTGGCCGAAGGTGTTTCAGCAGGAGCCGCACCCGGTGGGCTGCCCCTGGGAGTGGAGCTGGTAGTGCCGCGTGAGGCAGGAGGGCTGGCTGAAACACCTGCCGCACAGCTGGCACTGGTAGGGCTTCTCCTGGGCGTGGATCCGGTAGTGCTGGGCCAGGTACGAGCTCCGGCTGAAGGCCCTGCCGCAGTCACAGCACTGGCAGGCCCGCTCGCCCACGTACTCGTGTTCCCGCTGGTAGCGAATCAAATACACCTTGTTGTGGGGCAGCCTGGGCGGGAGGGCGCTGGCGGCCTCGTGGTCTCTGAGATGTTGAAGAAGGTGCTCGTCCTGGAGGAACGCTCTGCCACACTGGGCACATTCATGGTAGGTGTCCTGATGATGGGGTCTCACCCGGCCACAGACGCCTGCACGCCGGCTGCAAGGCTGGCCGCCTTTGCCGCACCCAGGGGACTGGTGGCCGCCGTGAGTCCTCTGGTGTCGCGTGAGGTGTGGCAGGAGGTAGAAGGCTTCCCCGCACCACTCACATTCGAAGGGTCTCTGCCTGGGGTGGACCTGCTCATGTCTCTTGGGGGCCTTCTGGGTACAACAGCTTCCTTCACAGGACTCCCATCTGCTGTGTCTGTTCTGTTGGAGGGAAGGCTTATCTCTCACCAGCCAGGGGCTTGCGCCCATCTCAGAAGCACACTCCTGGGGACCCCTTCCTAGACCCTGTGGCTGCTTAGTAGCATCTGAGCTGCTCTCAAGTTCACTGTGACGGCTTCTTTCCCGAGCGAGGGTCCTGGGCTCCCTCACTGCAGCAGGGCTCAAGCATTTCTCCTTGTTGAACTGGCACGAATCCAGAGGATCATCAGAAGACCCTCCTATGCGGGCATGCCAGGGGTCACCCACCTCTGAGTCCTCTGTTCCTGCCCCCAAGGGTGACTTCTCTATCGGCAGGCTTTGCTCTGGAGTTTGAGCTGTGGCTTCAGGTCTTTTCTGCAACCCTAAAAGAAATGTACAACTTCTTCTACTCTTTTTTTACTCACAGAGAAACATCATTATAGGAGAAATAGAAGAAACAGAGCAAAATGAACAGAACAAGTGTTATGGGGATTCAGAAGAATGGAAACGCTTTGCTAAGCTTGGATCTCCTTTTGAGAAAGGTAAGAAGCTGGTCAAAAGTCTGTGCTTGATAAAGGCAACTGCCTGGGTGGGAAAGAAGCTGAGGCCGAGGAGGCCAAGCACAAGGTTGTGGCCCAAAGAGGCAATGCTGAAGGCAGCGGTCCTGCCTGCAGACCCGGGAAGCACACAGGCGCCCCGCGGGCGGACGGCATAGCCGGCACGCGCGGGAGAAGTCACCGGGGTGAGGGGTCACCGGGCCGACACAGTGGACTAGCTCTCTCAGGAGAGGGTCTTGGGGGAGGAGACTCAGTGTGGGAGCCTAAGGGGCAGCCCCGGGCCCCGATGCCCATCTTCCTCACCCTGCCGCGCGGCCAGCATCTCAGCGTGTCCTGCCACCCCTTGCAGCGCGTGCCTTGGGCCTGAGCATGCCACCCCACAGCCGCCTCCACGAGCCCAGACCTCGGCAGCCTCCCGGCAGGTCTCCCCGGTCCTCCTCCTAAAGCGCAGTGTCCGCAGAGCAGCCAGAGGGAGCTTCGGGATGGAGCTGCCATGAGGCGAGCGGTCTGTACTTCCGCTGTCTGATACGGCAGCCGTCGGCCACATGTAGCTGACGGGCACTTGAAATGAGGCTGGTGTGACTAAGAAACTAAATTTTAAGTTTCATGTAATTTTCTTTGTGTAAATTTAAGGTAACTGTGTGTCTGGTGGCTACCACATCAGAAGCACAGTCTGAAGTGTCAGTGATGGTCTCTCATTCCCTGGCTTAAAAACTTCCAGTATCTTTGCACATCTCACTTGGAACAAAATCCACACTGCCTAACACATCCGCCCATGGCTGACCCATGCCTGTCTCTGCAACCTCATCTCCTGTCCCCTCCATCTCACCCAGACCGTCACTCGTCTTCCTGTTTCTGGAACACTCGAGCTCATCAGGACCGCGGGGACCTCTGCATTTGCTAGTCCCCCACCTGCGGGCCTTCCTCTTGAGATTTCCATGTGGTCTTGTCCAAATCTCCCTCGTGAAGCCCTCACTGACTACCCCATCTTAAGCAGCCTCCCATGTGTCACTATTTTACACGCAGATTCTACTATTTGTCTGTCACCCATCACCCTCATTAGAACGCAGGCTCCATTAAGGAAGGGATTTTGTCTGTCTTGTTTGTTACCACGTATAGATCCACAGAGCCTAGGACAGTGCCTGGCTCACCAAAGAGGCTCAACAAATAGTGTGGAATGACTGCAACAGTCAAAGAATCAATGTGCAAACAAGAAAAGAAGAGAAGACGATGAAAGCAGCAGGCAGGGGGAGGGGAGCCCTTGGCAGGTCCCTGACCTTGAGGGGGCCCCACTTGTGTGCCCACACAGGAAAAGGCAGGGAGGGCCGTGTCCACTGACACCAGCCCTCAGGCTCAGGACTGGGATGTGATCCGGCCCGGGGCGCTGACAAAGTGCTTCTGGGGAAGAAGCTCCCGAGCCCTGGAGAACGCTTCCTGACACCCCTGCTCTCACCACTCTCTGCGGACAGGACAAAAAAGCACATGTAGGATTTGTTAGCAGAGTGAAAAGAGAAAATGAACCCATTGCACTGGGGTCCTTGAGAACGTCACTGGGCCCCTACATGCAGCGTCCCTGAAGCCCATCTGATAGTACGGGGGCTCACAGCCCCCCGGCTGATGCCATCCTGGGTGTGGGTTTCGTGACCCAGTTCAGAAGAGAAGGTGTCATGACATGGTAAGCGCTGTAATAGTGTAGCCAGTCTGGAGAAGGTAAAGTCTAGAAGGTTCTTGTCCTTGAGCCATTCAGACGTCAGTGGAATCCTTTTAGGGAAGTTGTAGAACAGAGTGTACATGTGATAGGGTGAATGTGTGTGTGAGCATGTGTATGAATGTGTGAGAATGAGTGCACTTGTAAGTGCACCATGTGAGTGTGTGCGAAGTGCATGAGCATGTGTATGACTGAGCAAGTGCACGTATGCGCATGACGCTGGGAGCGAGTACGCATGTGCACGCGAGTGAGCACGTGGGTGTGTGGAGGCCCGTGAGTGTCGATGTGGGTGAGTGTGAGTGTGCATGTGTGTGGGCAGTGGTGGCGGAGGCCAGGCTGGGCGAGCAGCAGGGGAAACCCGCTGAGTCACAGGCCCGAGGGGCCACAGGACGGGGCGGAGTTGGCCAGATGGGGAGGTGGTGTCACATGGGGGTGGAAGGGGAACAGCAAGGCCGGGCCTGGCCTCCGCCCTGGGCAGTCCTCACAGTCCACTGCACGGCGCCCCCCAGCCACTCACCCTGACTCGTCCTGGGGTCGCTGTCCCCTGCCACCACACGCAACTCCTCCTCCTCCAGTCGTGCAATGAGGTCAGGCTTGGAAAACCGGTGCCCTGTGGAGAGGAGGCTCGTGACGTGGGGGTCAGCCCTTGTGGCCGGGGCTCCAGTGGCTCTGAGAGTTGGAGGGGGGACAAACTCATGCAAGAGAAACAAAGCCCGCTTCTAATGCTTCTGGCCCCAGGTTGTCACGATCTCGGAGGCATGAAGGACGGCGCCTGACATCTGCCGGGAGGAGCCCGGGGCTGTGGCCACACACCCTACAGGGCCCAGGGCTGCCCCACAGCAGAGAATGACCCGGCCCCAAAGTCAGAACCACCCAGAGGAGGCAGCGAGCCAGGCTCTCTACCCCAGCACCGGACCAACTCAAAAAGAAAACTGGTGCTTTTCCTCCGGCGAAAGCCCCCATTTCCAACTCTGCGGGCATCCTGATTCCGGATGTGCGGCCTGCAGGGCTGTGAGGAACAAGTGTCTGCTGGTCAGCTGCCACCCAGTCTGGGCGTCGTCACAACCGACCGCAAGAGGCAGGCACCACCTCTTAGCTCGCTGTGCGTCGGTGTCACCTCACCAGAACCTGACATCCCCAGGAGCAGGAGCCCCCACCCGCCTGTGCCCCACTGCCTGCGCCAGCACCCGGCCCGCTGCAAGTGCGCTGACGTTCCGGCCCTCTCTGTGAGCCGCTTGGAGCAGTACTTAGCATTTATTCGTGTTTGTCTTTAGGTCACCTTTCTTTCTAACTTAAGGGCACTTCATTTAAACAGAAGCTTTTGAAGAACCTTATAAATGGAAGCAACTGCTCTCTGCAAAATCAAACAAGCCCGAAGGTGACACAACAACACACAGTAGGCTGCCGAGCGCAGGCTGCTTGGGTCGCCGGCCTGAGTCGCTGCACTGAGGTCAGCTCTCTCTGCTGGGAGGGAAGATCGGCAAGATGCAGAGACATGCCAGCACCAGACTGATATTCTCTATGGATACAATCCAAGGTGCAAAAGAAAATCAGAGGGGGAGTCTCTCTCTCACCAGCTGCCTGAAGGATCACGCCCTGCAGCCCACAGACCGCCGAAAATAACTGTGACCCCCTGGGTCATTCTGCGCTTGGGAAGGCACTGTGCTGGGTGATTGGTAAGATTTCTATTAGCCCCAAACCTGTAGTGGTACAGGAAGCGAAAGGCTCCCAAGAACATAGAAATGCCTCCAGATCACCAATGAGTGCTGACAAGATAAAACTGACTTATTCCTTCCATTTTAAGTCATCCAGGCAGTAACTGAGAGCAGAGCCCTATTGGAAAGGTGCTCCTGTGAGCCTTCTTTATGACCAGGAAGTTGTGGCCCACATCACACACCCTGTGCCAGGCTGGAGGGGAGGTACGTCCACCCCCCACGCAGGTCTCTGACGTCACCGGCTGACTGCCTGCGGAGTGCTGTTGGGTTTTGACTGTGTTCTTCATGAGACCTCAGGCCCCACCAAAAGCTACTGAAAAGAGGAGCTTGGCACTGCTAACAAAAACATCCTGCTTGTGGGGAGAGGCAAACAGCCCTGCCCTGGAGGTGAACAGAGACCTGTCATCTCTGACTCTCAAATTCAAGGCAGCACAACTTCGGAGCTCCTGGGATTCTCAGCAGTTCCTCCACCCATTTGAAAATGTGGCTGTGTGCCTTGTCCATCTGGGACCCGATGAGGCACACCCCTGCGGTGGCACAGCAGGGTTTAGGGGCAGGCTCTGAAGTCAAACTGCTCGGGGTCAGATCCCAGCTCTGCCGCTTCCACACAGCTTCAGACAAGTAATTCAACCTCCCCATGACTTGGTTTCCTCACCTGTAAACGCCCCGCATAGGACTAGTGTAAGGATGAGAGGAGCTGAGACTAACACTGATACATATGAACTGCCAGGGCAACTCCATTGTGAGCGGCAGTGAACTTGGTGCTGAAACACTGTCTCTGACCTGGGTTGAGACTCGCTGGCACGGGGAACCACTGCAGTGTCAGCACAGAAACGAGTGGAGAAGCAGAGTCCACGGAGCAGGCGGACCTACCTAAGGAGAGCAGGTTCCAGTAATTCTCCAGCATCACCTCCTGGTACAGGCTCCTCTGGGCGGCACTGAGGTATGTGAGCTCCTCGGGGCTGAAGTCCACAGCCACATCCTCGAAAGTCACCGACGCCTAAAACACCAGACACAATCTCAAATGATCGAAATCCAGGCGGCACCCCCGTGAGAAGGGGAGGAGCCGGACGGCAGGCCTGCACAGGAAGCGTAAGTCCAAAGCATCGGGACCCTCCCGACCCGGGTGCTCTGGTCCAGAGGCGACAGCGGCCCAGCAGTGGACCTTTCTGCATCTCGCGGCTCGAGAGAAGGGGGACACCTCTGAGATGGTTCCTGCTACTCACTATAAATTAGGGTTGGAGGAGGAAGATCCCTTCACGCCACCTGAAAGAAAGACTTAAAAGCTGAGCAGCAGCCTCACTTCAGGGCTGGAACGAGCTTGGTTTAAGTCCCGGCTGTCATTCTACAAGCTTTGTGGGTGCAGGCAGGTCACACCTCGGTGCTTTACCTGTAAGACACAGTGAGCTCACAAATATGAAGGGACGTCAATCTCAGTCACAGACAGGGAGGGGCAATTCAAAGTGACAAGTGCCATTTTATACCCACTCAACTAACAAAAGTCCCTGAGTCTGACAATAGCAAATGGTCTCTAGAATGTGGACCCGAAGGACCTCTTGTATGACCCAAAGGGAAATGTAAATTGGTAAACCACTTTGGACCCAGGAATTCTATTCCCAAGTATACTTAGGAATATATTAGGTATGTGTAACAACCAGAACCTGGAAAAAACCCAAATGTCCATTTATAGTGAAAAAGATAAATATATTAGGATATTGTCACACAATGGAAGAATATTCCAAGGACTCAAACTAATTAACTATACTTACACAACCATCTTGGTAACCCCAGGTTGAATTTAAAAAGCAGATACTCGAACACCACATTAGAATATGATACCAATTTTATTAATACACATCTTTTGTGTTTTCAGGGAAACATCATACAGATCAATGAATATTTGATTTAAACTAGAAATCATGTACTGGCTGCCCAACTCCTACAGAGGGATTTATTTGGCCCACGTGGGTTTCTTACTCTTTTTTAAAAATTCATACAAGCTGTCAAGACCAAAAAATGTGTAGATTTTATATTATTAGCTGGAGTTTGGCTTCTTAAAATATCAGAAGCTCTGGGGACCCAGGTCCCAGTCTCACATGCACCACGAGCCTAAGCGGAGGCACAGGGGCCTCTGAGACGGGGCAGGCACTGCTGTGTTTATCGTAATCCACTGGTTTATGAAGTCCTCACTTCACCTCAGGCCCTGTGGGCATCTTCACCTTGGATGGACACTATCCAGAAGGCTACTCTCCAGATCTTTGGAATAGTGTTTTTCAGCCTTTTTCCTTTATCTCCCCCTCAAGGAACCTTCTCAGACAATTCTTTCCTAGTCACCACCCACCCCGATTTTGTTCTGGTTCTAAAGGAAGCACAGCATGTCAATTTCATTAATTGTCCTCAGGTTTCAAAAGGTGATTTAAGAGGAACACTAAGAAGCACATTTTTGAAAAAAAAACAAGAAAACCCACCTCACAACAGTACTATATCCCTATAAAAGCTACCATTTGTTTCATACGTAAAAATGATAACAGTGCAAGCCACATCAAAGTTGTTTTGAATAAGCTGACAGTGGACAAAAAAAATGGAATACTAAACAAACAAAAACCAATTAATTCAATAGATAGGAAAAGAGGGAAAATGTTAGATTTAGTATGTGGGGTGGTGAGAAAGACCACAGAGAAACATAACAGGGAAGGCGGGACAAAGAGAAAGAAATGTTAGGCAGGGCAGCCAGGGAAGGGCTCAGCTAGTGACACCGACACAGAGACTTAGAGTGAGGACGTGGCTTGAGTCCTGGGGGAGGTCCGGACATCAGGAAGGTGAGATTCCATCTGGGGAGCTAAGTCACCTGGAATCCCGCAGGCGGCAGGTCGTCAGATGCCCTGGTGTCCTTCTGGTGCTCTCTGGCGGTCCTCGCTCCTCCGAGGACACAGTCCGGAGCAGGGAGACCTCAAGGGGAGAAAGGGGCGACACGGGGCTGGGTCCAGTCTTGCTCACAGCACCTGCAGGCACAGCAGCCCGCCACCCCGTACCGCCCACCCGCCACGGGAGGGGCAGTGGTTCTGGGCTTCCTGAGATAAGAGCAAGACCACAGATATCTTTTCTCAGTGCAGTACAGCAAGGCCCAAGAATAAGCTCTGGCCCTTTCCCGGCTCTAAACCCTTCCGTGGCTCCCCACTGCCTTCCCAACACAACAGAAGGTCCCTCTGCGTCAGGGGTCCCCAGCCTTCCTGTCCACTGTGTCCCCAGGGAACCTCACACCTCCATTCTAAGGGCTCTCGTAAGGATTCAACATTACAGATGTAAAGCAAACAGCAGGCATTAAAAAAAATGGCAGCTCTTATTAAGCTTTTCCTACATCTTTTTCACTCATTGATCTAGAAGACAGCCACCACCTTCCCTACAGAAACCCGGACCTGGGAGGCCTTCCTAGCCTGCAGCAGCTTTCAAAATGCCCGTCATTAACTGTTTTGTTTCTCACACCCCAGGGGAGCCTTTCCTTTCCCCCTAATTACAGCCCCACCAATAGCTCTGTGCCTTTGTCCAGTTCTCCAACCTGTGACAATATCCCCCATGACACCCGAGGCAGCATCACACGAGGATTCAGACAACAGACCCCGGAGCCCGCGGGCTGCCCGGGCCTGGCCCGATCCGGACTGCCATCACTATAACTGTGGGGCCACGGGGAGGTGACCCTACCTCTTTGTGCCTCTGTGTTCTCATCTACAAAAGGGTAATACTGACTTCAAGAGCTATTAAGAGAGGTAAATATGTTAATGTGCACAAAACACTTAGAATATAGTACATTGTGAGTGTTCAACATGTTTGCCATTAGTGTCCTCAAAATTCCTTTAAGGAAAGCAGGTGCACAGACTGGATTAACCGTAATCCTTAATTCATGATGATATCAGCCTTGAGCCATGCATACCCCTCATGTTTATTCTACATTTATCCACATATATATTGTAAATATAATTAAGGCCTGGAACTCATGACCTAACCCCAAAACTAGAACATTCCCCAAAACTTCCATCTAGCCATGTGCTTTTTCCTACGAGCACTCAGCCTTCTCTCCAGAGGTAACTACAACCTGGATTCATAGTTTTTGTTCCCCTGACATTCTCTCTGTCTCTTTCCCTCTATATAACTAAACAATTTTTTTTAGTTAGTGCCATTTTCACTCGAAGGCTGTGAGGAGTGAATGGCTTTCTTTTCTCATTGAAATGCCCTTAATTCCGATCTAGAACTTGAGTTTCCCAGGGACCTGTCAATGTTTGGCAGAGGTTAAACTTCCAGGCCTCACAGCTCCCATGCTTTATGCCCTCTTTTTTTCGTCAGTGTGTTGTTTTAATCTGTGTTGATGCTTAAGTTTAGGCTGGATAAGAAATGTGGGGGGGATGGGAACAAAGCCGGAGAGAAGGGGTACTCTCAGAGGAACACGAATAGTAAAGGCAAACCCAGCCCAACATTTCTTCCAGCTCGCAAGACGCAGATTCAACTGGATTACAGAATTCACTCTTCCATTCATCCTTCCGACACATTTTTCTTCAGCTCCTGTTACATCCAGGCACATGGCGAATACCCAATCAGTAGAAACAGCGGTCGCCTCTTTGCTCTCACCTTTCTCTCCCCACGTCTGGGGCAAGTTCGCCACCCGGGTTCCCGCTTCCTTGCTGTTGCTGGGCTCCTCTGACCTCGCCCATATCCGAGCCCTCTCTGGCAGGGCGTTGGGAAACTGCTCCAGCACCGGGTGCTCCGTCACCTGCTCCTCCGGTGGGTCTCCGGCTGCAGCCATTGCCGGCAGAGCTCCCGGATTTGGCTTGCAGGTCGGTGAGGCCCAGGCACTGACAGATACTGGAAATACCAAAACTTTCGATGAGGAAGTCTGAGAGCCCCTGGGTTTCCTATGGGGATGGTTTCTAGATTCTCTTCTTGTTATGTAGACAAAAGGGCTGGGATTCCCCAAGATGGGCAAAACCTCTGTCATGTGAAGGATCTTTAGAGCTTGGCCCTTCACAGGATGGAGATACTTTAAAGGCAGACTGCTCCGGGGCACACTGGTGTGGAAGGGGGTGGGCAGAGTGTGTGAGACAAAGAAAGGATACAGAAACCTAAGGATCTGCAGAAATTACATAAATTTACCAGTGGCCTGCACAGCTAGGGCTGGACGATGGGGTGGAGGTGATCTGAAGCAAAGGGACTTAGCTCATTCCACACAAATGCCTAAAGAGACATTAACAAAAATTTGCACATCTACAGATATGATGCTGCCTCAGAATTCCCAGGGCTGGAAAAAACACAAGCACAGGGGCTAGAAATATTTCAGAAATGGGACTGAAGGGAAAAGAGACTTGAGCCCCAAATCACAATGAACTGAACTGATTTGATGAACCACAGAAGAATTTCATTTCAAAAAATAAATGAGCTAAAACAACTATGTATTATACAGAATGAGGGAAAATCCTTACAATACGTACATTCTACAAAGGACTGGACTCATAAGCAAAATATATAAAGAACTTATAACAATCATAAGAAAAAAACAGACGAGAGCAAAAAGGTTAAAGATTCAAGCAGGTATTACACAAAATGTCCAATAAAAGTACGAAATGGGGCTTAACTTCATTAGTTATTGAAGGAATATGAATGAAAGCCATAATGGTATTTCGCTCTATACCCTACAGAATGTTGAAGATGAAAAAGAAATCACGCAATAGTTTTAGAGAGGAGACAGAGCCACAGGACGGGATGCTGATACCCTGGAACTCTATGAAGAGAGAATTGAGAATATGGATGTATCTTGCTGTTGAATGAAAGAAACTAGGCTCAAAAAAAGAAGTCAACATTCTATGATTTCCATTTATATAAAGGTCAAAATAGGCAAAATGAATCTAAGGCATCAGAAGTCAGATGAGTGATTACGATTGGGACTAGAGTGGGGCAATGTTAACTCCTGGGAGGTGACAGTATGAGGGGCTTCTAGAATGTTCTGATTCTTAATCTAGGAGCTCATGACATAGACAGTATGTTCACTGTGAAAACTGAGCTCTACGCTTACGGTTTGGGACCTTCTCTGAATACATATTTCACTGAAAAAACACCTGTAGCTGTGTTATAGTTGTGGAGAAGCATCTAGGTTATAACAAGTGAAAAAAGCAGGAAACAAACCCATACACAGAATATATGCTTAACCACACAAAGCCGAGTAAAATCACTGGGAAGTAAACCAAATACAAATACTGGACCAGGGGGTTATCTATGAAGCGTGAGATTTTTAAGTGATTTTTACAGGTGATTTTCTACTTTCTCCCTCACAACTACTTTTTAATTTCAAAATGTTCTACAGTGAACCTTCATTTCTCCTATAATCAGAAAAATTAAACATGTTTTTCTTCTATAAAAGCTACATTCACTCTATGAAACCACAAACAAAACTGCCATTTGGGGGACACCAAGGGCCCCGTATTTTCATTTTGTACTGGGCCCTGCAAATTACAACTGGTCCTGCCAGCGAAGAATGTTATCATTCCTCAAAATCTGTTGTTGCCAGTTAGACAGTTGAAACGGATCTTTTTATTCATTAATTCTGCAATTCCTTCAATTAATAATAAAGCTTCATGTTTATTTCAGATTTATTGGCCAATTATATTGCTTTTTTCCTTTGCCCTTTTTCCAGTAGGGTATTTCTGTTGATTAGTGAAGGATCTGTATAAATGAAGGACAGTCCTTGTCCTATTTGCTTTAAAAAAAAAAATTCCAGCTGTGCCATACCTCCTCCTTAGTCTTTGCAGAATTTTAACATTTTTAAGTCCAATTTATCACTACCATACCAAAACAATTAAATACTCAATTATATTCTCTTGTTGCTTTATTTAAACATTTGATTTTAATTGTTTAGCTGGAATCTAGTCTGGGGCGGGGTGTAAGAATATAATTTCTTATAAAAATGTTCTCACCACTACCAATCATTAATTTGCTATCCCTTCCTTCTTGGGATGTGTGATGGCCCTTGAATTGAATTTCTAGGTGTGTAGCATCCAGGAAAGGATGCTGGGAAAGGAATAATGGAAATGACTGTGAAATCCTGCCAGCCTGCCTCCCCAGACTAGCCAGCTCCAAGGCGAGAGTCCGGAGCCCAGCCCTTCCTCCTGGCCCAGGACGGGAAGTATGACCTTGAACCAAGGCCCTGCAGGCCACAAGTTGTGGACTGTTTTGAATAAGCTGACAGTGGACAAAAAAAATGGAATACTAAACAAACAAAAACCAATTAATTCAATAGATAGGAAAAGAGGGAAAATGTTAGATTTAGTATGTGGGGTGGTGAGAAAGACCACAGAGAAACATAACAGGGAAGGCGGGACAAAGAGAAAGAAATGTTAGGCAGGGCAGCCAGGGAAGGGCTCAGCTAGTGACACCGACACAGAGACTTAGAGTGAGGACGTGGCTTGAGTCCTGGGGGAGGTCCGGACATCAGGAAGGTGAGATTCCATCTGGGGAGCTAAGTCACCTGGAATCCCGCAGGCGGCAGGTCGTCAGATGCCCTGGTGTCCTTCTGGTGCTCTCTGGCGGTCCTCGCTCCTCCGAGGACACAGTCCGGAGCAGGGAGACCTCAAGGGGAGAAAGGGGCGACACGGGGCTGGGTCCAGTCTTGCTCACAGCACCTGCAGGCACAGCAGCCCGCCACCCCGTACCGCCCACCCGCCACGGGAGGGGCAGTGGTTCTGGGCTTCCTGAGATAAGAGCAAGACCACAGATATCTTTTCTCAGTGCAGTACAGCAAGGCCCAAGAATAAGCTCTGGCCCTTTCCCGGCTCTAAACCCTTCCGTGGCTCCCCACTGCCTTCCCAACACAACAGAAGGTCCCTCTGCGTCAGGGGTCCCCAGCCTTCCTGTCCACTGTGTCCCCAGGGAACCTCACACCTCCATTCTAAGGGCTCTCGTAAGGATTCAACATTACAGATGTAAAGCAAACAGCAGGCATTAAAAAAAATGGCAGCTCTTATTAAGCTTTTCCTACATCTTTTTCACTCATTGATCTAGAAGACAGCCACCACCTTCCCTACAGAAACCCGGACCTGGGAGGCCTTCCTAGCCTGCAGCAGCTTTCAAAATGCCCGTCATTAACTGTTTTGTTTCTCACACCCCAGGGGAGCCTTTCCTTTCCCCCTAATTACAGCCCCACCAATAGCTCTGTGCCTTTGTCCAGTTCTCCAACCTGTGACAATATCCCCCATGACACCCGAGGCAGCATCACACGAGGATTCAGACAACAGACCCCGGAGCCCGCGGGCTGCCCGGGCCTGGCCCGATCCGGACTGCCATCACTATAACTGTGGGGCCACGGGGAGGTGACCCTACCTCTTTGTGCCTCTGTGTTCTCATCTACAAAAGGGTAATACTGACTTCAAGAGCTATTAAGAGAGGTAAATATGTTAATGTGCACAAAACACTTAGAATATAGTACATTGTGAGTGTTCAACATGTTTGCCATTAGTGTCCTCAAAATTCCTTTAAGGAAAGCAGGTGCACAGACTGGATTAACCGTAATCCTTAATTCATGATGATATCAGCCTTGAGCCATGCATACCCCTCATGTTTATTCTACATTTATCCACATATATATTGTAAATATAATTAAGGCCTGGAACTCATGACCTAACCCCAAAACTAGAACATTCCCCAAAACTTCCATCTAGCCATGTGCTTTTTCCTACGAGCACTCAGCCTTCTCTCCAGAGGTAACTACAACCTGGATTCATAGTTTTTGTTCCCCTGACATTCTCTCTGTCTCTTTCCCTCTATATAACTAAACAATTTTTTTTAGTTAGTGCCATTTTCACTCGAAGGCTGTGAGGAGTGAATGGCTTTCTTTTCTCATTGAAATGCCCTTAATTCCGATCTAGAACTTGAGTTTCCCAGGGACCTGTCAATGTTTGGCAGAGGTTAAACTTCCAGGCCTCACAGCTCCCATGCTTTATGCCCTCTTTTTTTCGTCAGTGTGTTGTTTTAATCTGTGTTGATGCTTAAGTTTAGGCTGGATAAGAAATGTGGGGGGGATGGGAACAAAGCCGGAGAGAAGGGGTACTCTCAGAGGAACACGAATAGTAAAGGCAAACCCAGCCCAACATTTCTTCCAGCTCGCAAGACGCAGATTCAACTGGATTACAGAATTCACTCTTCCATTCATCCTTCCGACACATTTTTCTTCAGCTCCTGTTACATCCAGGCACATGGCGAATACCCAATCAGTAGAAACAGCGGTCGCCTCTTTGCTCTCACCTTTCTCTCCCCACGTCTGGGGCAAGTTCGCCACCCGGGTTCCCGCTTCCTTGCTGTTGCTGGGCTCCTCTGACCTCGCCCATATCCGAGCCCTCTCTGGCAGGGCGTTGGGAAACTGCTCCAGCACCGGGTGCTCCGTCACCTGCTCCTCCGGTGGGTCTCCGGCTGCAGCCATTGCCGGCAGAGCTCCCGGATTTGGCTTGCAGGTCGGTGAGGCCCAGGCACTGACAGATACTGGAAATACCAAAACTTTCGATGAGGAAGTCTGAGAGCCCCTGGGTTTCCTATGGGGATGGTTTCTAGATTCTCTTCTTGTTATGTAGACAAAAGGGCTGGGATTCCCCAAGATGGGCAAAACCTCTGTCATGTGAAGGATCTTTAGAGCTTGGCCCTTCACAGGATGGAGATACTTTAAAGGCAGACTGCTCCGGGGCACACTGGTGTGGAAGGGGGTGGGCAGAGTGTGTGAGACAAAGAAAGGATACAGAAACCTAAGGATCTGCAGAAATTACATAAATTTACCAGTGGCCTGCACAGCTAGGGCTGGACGATGGGGTGGAGGTGATCTGAAGCAAAGGGACTTAGCTCATTCCACACAAATGCCTAAAGAGACATTAACAAAAATTTGCACATCTACAGATATGATGCTGCCTCAGAATTCCCAGGGCTGGAAAAAACACAAGCACAGGGGCTAGAAATATTTCAGAAATGGGACTGAAGGGAAAAGAGACTTGAGCCCCAAATCACAATGAACTGAACTGATTTGATGAACCACAGAAGAATTTCATTTCAAAAAATAAATGAGCTAAAACAACTATGTATTATACAGAATGAGGGAAAATCCTTACAATACGTACATTCTACAAAGGACTGGACTCATAAGCAAAATATATAAAGAACTTATAACAATCATAAGAAAAAAACAGACGAGAGCAAAAAGGTTAAAGATTCAAGCAGGTATTACACAAAATGTCCAATAAAAGTACGAAATGGGGCTTAACTTCATTAGTTATTGAAGGAATATGAATGAAAGCCATAATGGTATTTCGCTCTATACCCTACAGAATGTTGAAGATGAAAAAGAAATCACGCAATAGTTTTAGAGAGGAGACAGAGCCACAGGACGGGATGCTGATACCCTGGAACTCTATGAAGAGAGAATTGAGAATATGGATGTATCTTGCTGTTGAATGAAAGAAACTAGGCTCAAAAAAAGAAGTCAACATTCTATGATTTCCATTTATATAAAGGTCAAAATAGGCAAAATGAATCTAAGGCATCAGAAGTCAGATGAGTGATTACGATTGGGACTAGAGTGGGGCAATGTTAACTCCTGGGAGGTGACAGTATGAGGGGCTTCTAGAATGTTCTGATTCTTAATCTAGGAGCTCATGACATAGACAGTATGTTCACTGTGAAAACTGAGCTCTACGCTTACGGTTTGGGACCTTCTCTGAATACATATTTCACTGAAAAAACACCTGTAGCTGTGTTATAGTTGTGGAGAAGCATCTAGGTTATAACAAGTGAAAAAAGCAGGAAACAAACCCATACACAGAATATATGCTTAACCACACAAAGCCGAGTAAAATCACTGGGAAGTAAACCAAATACAAATACTGGACCAGGGGGTTATCTATGAAGCGTGAGATTTTTAAGTGATTTTTACAGGTGATTTTCTACTTTCTCCCTCACAACTACTTTTTAATTTCAAAATGTTCTACAGTGAACCTTCATTTCTCCTATAATCAGAAAAATTAAACATGTTTTTCTTCTATAAAAGCTACATTCACTCTATGAAACCACAAACAAAACTGCCATTTGGGGGACACCAAGGGCCCCGTATTTTCATTTTGTACTGGGCCCTGCAAATTACAACTGGTCCTGCCAGCGAAGAATGTTATCATTCCTCAAAATCTGTTGTTGCCAGTTAGACAGTTGAAACGGATCTTTTTATTCATTAATTCTGCAATTCCTTCAATTAATAATAAAGCTTCATGTTTATTTCAGATTTATTGGCCAATTATATTGCTTTTTTCCTTTGCCCTTTTTCCAGTAGGGTATTTCTGTTGATTAGTGAAGGATCTGTATAAATGAAGGACAGTCCTTGTCCTATTTGCTTTAAAAAAAAAAATTCCAGCTGTGCCATACCTCCTCCTTAGTCTTTGCAGAATTTTAACATTTTTAAGTCCAATTTATCACTACCATACCAAAACAATTAAATACTCAATTATATTCTCTTGTTGCTTTATTTAAACATTTGATTTTAATTGTTTAGCTGGAATCTAGTCTGGGGCGGGGTGTAAGAATATAATTTCTTATAAAAATGTTCTCACCACTACCAATCATTAATTTGCTATCCCTTCCTTCTTGGGATGTGTGATGGCCCTTGAATTGAATTTCTAGGTGTGTAGCATCCAGGAAAGGATGCTGGGAAAGGAATAATGGAAATGACTGTGAAATCCTGCCAGCCTGCCTCCCCAGACTAGCCAGCTCCAAGGCGAGAGTCCGGAGCCCAGCCCTTCCTCCTGGCCCAGGACGGGAAGTATGACCTTGAACCAAGGCCCTGCAGGCCACAAGTTGTGGACGGGCGGTCCATGGCCTTGCCTCCTCAGAAGGCACTCTCGGCTTCCTTCCCTGTTTCTCTTTCATAAATTCTTAACTCGACTTACTTTAAGTTTTAGCTTTTGGATCTCGGCCTACATCCCTTATACTGCAAGTTTTAACCACTTATCTCGGTAGCTCTTGGCACCATTTTTTTTCTTCCTAACATTTAAACTAAACCTTCATTTTTTAACTCTCAATACCACTAAAACCAACTGGGCAGAAGGCTCTCTAATAACGACCTGTTGAATGACTTCAGTTCTTTTTAATGGTCACTGAACCCATGTGGGTTTCCTATTTTTTTAACCCAATTTTTAAAAAATACTTTCCCAGAAAAATCATCCATTTGTTTGAAACTGTAATATAACACGATTGAGCAGACTATTCTTATAACAATTAAATCTCCTCAGTATGTAACTTTATCCTTTCCAATCAATAATGTTGTTTTATTCCTAATTTGTCTTTTTTATTTTTTTTTCTTTACTGCCACTTTCTCTCATCCCAAGTACCAGCTTCTAGTTCCAACTATTATTTTAGCTTTCTCATGTATTAATTTATCTTTATTATCTTCTTACTCCTGGTTTCATTAGTTTTATCAGTTTTCTTTTGTTCATTTGTTTGGGGAACTTTGTGAACAATTACACAATTTATCTCCATTCTTTCTTGACTACTGAAAGCTATTTCTTCTGGATTTATGTCAGAACTTAAGGGCTGTCACCAATCTTACTTTCACTATTTTCTTAATTCGTAATTGCACTTGATTTCTCCACTTACCAAAAAATTCCTTAGAATTAATATAATTTCATCCCTAAATATTCACTATTAAATATTTATTTGACATATGGCAAGTAAACAGTTTCTGTATTCTGGAACATTGGCCTTCGACACTTTATGATGCATCCTATCCTAAAAACTAACTTTTTTATCTACTAATGAGTAAAGCAAAAGCATGTACTTTGCAATTGCATATAAAAATCTTAACTAATTTTGAAACAAATAGAGCAGCGAGCAAAGTTCCTAAACGGAGAAAGACAGTATTTACTTCCCACCCCAACAGCTCCTTCTGCCTCCCCGCAGCGGCTCTCCTGAGAGCAGGGAGACGTCGCGCTAGAAGTACTGCCCACAGCAGCCAGCGCGTCGAACTGGACCCTAACGAAGGTGGCGGGTTCTTGATTTCAGAGCAGGGAAAAAACTCACGGGGCAGCAGGGCGGCGTCCTGAGAAGGGAATGCAGGCCAACCGCGCCGGGGTGCCAGCGGGAGCGGTGGGGGGGCAGCAGGGGCCGAAGGGAGCGAACAGAGAGGTGCCAGGGCGCCGAGCGCAGGGCAGGAAGAGCGGCGGGCAGCACGCGGCCAGGAGCGCGCGGCTGGGAAGTAAGGCAGCGAGGGAAGCGGGAGAACACGAGGAGGGGCGGGGCCTGAGGGGCAGAGCCAGGGCCTGGGGGCGGGGCTGCGGGGGCGGTAAGGCCCCCCCG